GGGCCAGATTTTTTCCTATTTCTACAGCACCTGAAATCACATTGCACGTGTTAGTCATTGAACTGGCGGAGAAGTACCGTAACAAACTGCCCACGGACCGCGCGCTATCTTACATTCCTCTTCTTTGCCCTTGCCTTGCTTCTTATTTTCACCCCTTACATATACTCATTCTTATATGCACAACACTACCACACGTGTCGGGAGACCAGTCGGGAGCTTAGAGCTTGTCCAGGCTGTGGCGGTGCCCCGCTCGTGGAATATACGAGTACTAGGTTGGGGAAAGTCATTGCAAAGCAACGTAGATTGGATCTTGCCAGACAGAGTGGTATAATCACCACATCTTGTGAAAACATGCACTACACTTAAGGACTAATGACCTTAGCAGTTGGTGCTCGGAATGACAAATAATCAATCAATTAGTTTCTCCTCCTCCCCTTCCTTTTTTCAGTTCTGCTCAGCCCGCTCCTTTCTCTCCTACTACTTCTTACTTTCCGGTTCCCCCTCTACTGGCTCCATCCGGCCCCACCCAGTGCCACCCGGCAGCTATTCCGTCTAGAGGCACTGAGGATTGCATTGAACTAAGTGAAATAACATTTTTACTGGCAACTACACTACATATTTCTAATTTTTGTACGATCAAAAGTACTTGTGCCAAATTTGGGAGGAATCATGTCAGTGACTAAAATTGTTTTGGCATGTACAAACATACTAACTTTTCCTTTTTCAGCGTATACTAACTGAAGTATTCCACGTTGCAGGGTATGTATTCCAGTAATTTATTAGACAGGAAGAGAAATTCCATCTTTTGCGACCTTGAAAATAGTGGTTAACAGAAAAGTGTTAATTACCATTTAGACAGTCATAATACCTCCAAACCCCATAGGACACGGTGGATCCCGTCTTGACAAACGTTTTTCTAGTATTTAAACTGACATTTGCTTCTACTTTCAATAACCTTTGAAAACAGATGATGCATGTTCAGTTCTTCCAAATACACATTTCTCATTACTATTTTACATAAATATACTTTCCTTCCCCAAACATGCATCAATTTATACAATCATTCCTTCACTACCTAAATATACATATTCAATCTACATTACCATAAAACACGTACCTACAAAAACTCATTAAATCTGACACAATTTCGCATCAACAGGTAAAGCATTCATTATTCATTTCACATTCGGTCGTCGCCTATCCCAAAGTCGTTCCCTATCGTATATTGTAGATATGCAACTCTGTGTACTGATGAGCTCAACTGTAGATCACAGATGTTCACCCAATTTGGTGGTGCGCAACGAAACTATTGCTTTGATGAATTTCTGAATCTGTGATGCGATCCTAGACGAAAAAGGCTACGCAAAATTTATTTTGTAGGTGTTATGACTATGGTAAAAAGTGTACGCATGTAAACCATAACATAATACCTGAATACTCCTCACCTTCAAACAAAGCTAGCACAAACGCTACATTGATGCAATACGTCCGGAGATTATCGCATTAAAACTACAACGCTCTTGTCCCTTTATATATATCAGAAAAATATTATATTACGTCTATTACTTTCTCAATACAATAAATAATTTTATTATATTCGCAGCATGATGAATGTCAACATTTATTACTCGTTTTCGAGAACATACCACTAGGTTTTGTTAAGCAACTGACAAAAAGTTACTCAATGAATGGGGCCAAAAAGCGACGGTAAACGTTAGAAAATTTGTAAAAGTGCTTAAAGAAACAAATAAATTTCACATAATTAATTTGGTTCCTTTTTGAGTAATTATCGAGAGACTTCAGCCTTAGCGCTTCAATTCTCTATATTTATGTACAGTATATGGAAGATAGTAGGATGATATTTTTGTTCAAATCAACTACGGTACATATTGTGAGATCTTGAGTTTTTCTTTGGAAACAAATGCCATGCGTGTTTTCCCGTAGTACCCAATGCATCAAGTCACGCTTGAGCCTAAGCGGTTTGGAAATTATTTCGCTGCCTTGGACACGCGACACGTCAATTATTACCCCAAGTAGGCTTGTTTCCTCTTGCAGGACCACCCCAGTGTGTTAGAGAAGGAGCCGATTTCTTATTCTTTTAGTTTATTTTAAGGACTTGACATTTTCAACTACTGCATTGGAGCGTTGCCAACATCTCGAGAACACAGACCATTTCTTAATACAGCTCGAAAAAAGTCCACTTTACTGTACCTGGGACTAGCAAATGGTTAGACAATTAAAAGCTAACTTTCACCCGGAGTTTTTTCTAATCATAAAACGCAGATAATATGCAACTCATTCGGCGAACTTGTGCTTTTCTTGCGTCAAATAACGATCCTCGCCAGTGCACGCGTCACTTCCTTCACAGTGTCACATGGCAGTACCTTCCACATACCCCTTATCCGCCACCTCCCTCCTCCAACTGGAACTACCCCCCCCCCAACACTCTTCAGTCCCATCAGCAGAGTCTGAGGACAGGAGATGGCTCATTGTAGACTGACGATTTAACACAGAATAAGAAATGGACAGGTTCGTGAAAGAATGAGTATCTTCGATAAGAGTACAATAATGACGAACTGTATACGCTTGTACCTAAATGTGAACCGACTTATTGGGAGGTAGACGAGGCAAATATTAAATCCAACCCCTACAAAGGGGTATACAAAAAGAGCCAGAACAATGAGGTCATGGAGAGATGTAAATGAAGCTACAACTGACTGAAACCTACAATATGACCACTGGCAAGAGAAAGTAAAATATAGAGTAATAATGATTAATGTTGCAATAGACATGCAACGGTATTACTGTAAATAAAAACATGATATATTTGATACGGAGTATAGGTGACCACGACCCATGATGCTGATACTCTACTATTAAGATGATAAAGATCAACGCATGATAGTGAAACCTCACCCTTCCCAGATCAATGCTTTTTATGAGACTGATGACAGGCTCAATTGTTTCGAAACACTTGAGTGGCAGCTGTGTCTGGCTGTGTCTGCGTCTGTCTGCGACCGCCTGTGGTTGTCTACGTCTGTCATTTAGTTTTGGGGAGTGGATACTTAATTAGAAACCTGAAGTTTTAAAATCATATTTTAGTAGAAACACAAGGGAAGACAATAATGACAAAGTGTGACAAAATGTAGTTTAACCGCCAACAGATGGCACCTGGGAAGAGAGTGGGGGAAAACCAAACAGCTAGCTCTGACTAAAGACGCAAGGAAGTGAACTAGTATAAGTAAGTCTCTACCGTTTGAAGCACCGTTAATTTACTAAATTCTACTATAATTTGATTAAATTCGTACTTACAAGATAATGACGTGTGTATCAATGGCAAGTTAGTTTGAAATGGACATGATGACTTTAGAAAAGAGACATTGATCATTTATATATAAGTAGAGAAAAGAAAATAGTTTTAATAATAACATTTAGTATTTTGGAGTGGAAATGTGAATTTCTTTTACAATAATTGTTTACGTAAAATAATATTTTATTGAAGTAAGTAATTGTATATACGTGAACTATCAGATGGATTATACTTGTTAATCTTGACCTTAGTAAATCACATCAAAACGGTGACAATCATCGAGATGAGGATTGCACCAAACTGTTGTAATAATGAACAACATAAGATATTCGATGTAATACAGAAGGAAACACTGCGATTTATTGCAAAGTACACAGATAGGCGCAGAATAAAACCGTTACGGAAAAGGGCAGGTTTTGCGTCATTTTGCTTGCGCAGTCCTCAGGAGTATTTCCGGGAGGCGGGCGCGATGCAGCCCTTTGCGCTGAGAACGCGCACACACTGTTTGGAGAAGACAAGGCAACAGGTCGGCGCGCCTCGGCCCCATTCGAGCACACGGAGGATTATTCCTTCTCCTACGCAATGCACTACCACTCTGCCGGGAGACCATTCGGGAGCTTAAATTCTCGGCTATCCGGGAGACGCCGCGTCGTTGGCTGGGGTGCCGACGTTTCGCCTGACATGTCGCAGGCTTTCTCAGAGCAGTTAGCCCTCGCGTCGACACCCCAGCCAACGACGCGGCGTCTCCCGGATAGCCGAGAATTTATGGATTCGAGCCGCGGAAGCTTACGTGTACATTCGGGTGCTTGTCCCGGCCGGAACGGTGCCCCTCCGGTGGGAGATATCTGGTAGAGGGAAACACCGAAAGCCGACGTGTAGGTCAGCGCCGTATCTCACCTTCTAGCAGGAGAAGATATTCGCCACCTCCCGCGATAAAACATGCACTGCACTTATAGGACTAGTTGGCCGTAGTAGTCGACGCACCAGGAAACCCCAACGAATCAATCAATGAATTGTCCCGACGCGGCCTGGCCGAAACGTGACCAGCGCAGGAACCCGGCTCGGGAAGCCGGCACTGCGTGCCCGAGGTCGGCGAAGTGGGTCAGAGGTCGAACGGCCACGACTCGCCCACCCCCTCCCCGCTGCCCCACGTGGCCACGGGGTCCTCAAGGGCACGCCGTCGCCTTTCCCCTCCTCCTTCTCCTCCTCCCGGGCGCCACGCGACCGAGCAAGGGCGCCGTTAAACGCACCGCCTTACCACAGGAATACGTTATTCGGATTTATGGTTCTGGCTTTGTATCTGACCTCAATCTCGAACGCGTCTGGCCAGCTCCGCAGCGTTCTCGCTTTGCGGGGAGGCTGCGTGGATTTATTCGAGGGAGTATTTACTCTATCCTGGTAAGATTACGGAAACCACGAGACGTGACTTGCGGCGAGTACTTCGATCCCTTTTTCACTGTCAAGGACAAAAACATTCTACTAACAGAACAGTGATAATATCTCTATGCTCGAGAATTAGGTACTAATTGAAATGGAGGCAATCCCAAGGGGCTTCTTGTAAATAATCCTCAAAATTTTTTAAATTGTAGGTTAATCGAAATTATAAAATTGCTTCAGGTCGAGCCAAATTTATCTTAGAATTATCATTCAATCATCGTACGAATAGTTTAGACCAGGCTTCCCCAACTCAGGTGCCCGTGGGTGGTCACGCGGGTGCCCGTGAACGGGCACGGGGGCGCCCGCGAGTCACAGCGAGCACTGGCGGAGTCCGGTGGGCACAGCAGTACCCTGTAACTTCCGTATAACGTGGTGGAGACCATTACAGTGGCGCGCTCTAGAGCATCACGTTCTTACACGAACTAAAATACGAACTGCTACCAACGTTATTTAAAACGTGCGTGGGTTTTCGGGTCGCAAACACACGCGCCAGATACAAAAGATCGCGCCGCTGTTCGCGCTACCTTTTCTTTCGTGCTTGTATTATTATGAATAAATGAATTTTAGAAGATAAACACATAGTATTAAACCTATTTTGTAATTTATTTCAGAAATCACTCATAATCAGAATATATTCGTATTTCTTGCACAATTGTTATGTGCGAAAGTTGGCGAGCCTTACCAGCAGCTGTATCCGGCGACACTAGCGCATTCTATAGTAGCATCCTCTAGCTTTGTTTTTTTAAAGACTGCTGTCAACATTCACTCCTGGCGCCTGGCGAAATACAAGCCCTCGGGGCGTAAGTTGGCCGTGGCCTTTGGCGACAATTCGTCGCTGATAGCCGAAGCAGGGAGCGGTGAAGATGGGAAGCGAAAGTCATACCGTGGCTGCTAATCAGAAAGATACCTTAATGTTTAACAGGACACATACAATTTAATACGATTCAACAATATTTTATTGTTTTTATTAACAAGAAACAATATCTGGTATCACTTCTTGGACTGTTGCGATGCGTGGAACGTCAAGTTTGTTCTTTGTTTTTTATTATTTTCATTGAGGATAAAAGTTGTTCACAACAAAATGTTGACTCCAACATTGATAAAATATTCTCTGCATTTTATGAAGCTTGGGAAAGACTTCCATAAGTAAATTCTGATAGCACCGTGACAAATTAAGGGTACTAAAAATCTGTCTTTTAGAAGTATTGAGTTCTGCGAATCTTTTATCTCCAACATTATCTCGAACATCAAATTGTGGATTCTGACTGGCTACGTATTACAGAAAGTAAGTTACTACATAAATGTACGAGAAAATTCTCTTTTACCGTATTTAGGAGACACATATCGACTATTTCTGGCCAAAAATGGCACTTTTTCTCACAACATGAACATTCCTTTCTCTATTCCATGTATTCTACTTCGTCTATACGTACGCATGCAAGAAAGTAAAAACCATAGTTCAAATTTGCTTTCTAATTACGGTTTCTTGCAGGGAAGTCAGTCCTGTGTTTGCAACTCTGTTTCAAGGGTTTGGGCGTCACATTGAGTTTTCCGCTGTTCAGTAGCGTTGCATTAGAATCAGTTCTTTGAACGTCACCATGCACTTTCCAGAGATGATATATTCTGCTACAAAATATATAATTTTTACCTCAATAGGCTCAGAGTTTTACAAAATGGAAGTCTGATTCTAGATAATAACATTTTCCTTGAAAGAATGCGAGAGAGAGTATAGAGGTATTGAGAGTATACGAGTAGAAAGGAAGAGAAGTCAGAATCTCAAGTTCGAATGACGAATCACACTCCTGTCAGAGCCGCTACCTTTTGGAAAATGACGATGTCGAGAATTTGGAAACGATTACCGCGAGTTGTCTCTTCCCCTATCGTCCGCTTTAATTGATGGGCGGTGCGCGTGCGGGTTAGCCCGATGCTCGCCGTCTCGCGTGACCCGTTCAGCGGCCCGCGCTCCCGCGCGGCAGGAGATAAAAGAGTTCGGTCGGAGGCCCACCCCTCATGCCGCAAAGTCTTTAGACCCGTGAGAGTAAGACGAGATCCAACGGCGACCTGCACGATTGCGGGTTTTTCCTCATACAGGCATCTTTCAGCAGCCGAGCAGCGCCCCAGACGCAACGAGCTCTCTGCTCCAGACTAGTTTGCCAATACATGTGGTAGTGCTGTGCATGTGAAGTAAGGGGTGACGATAGTGCAAGGAAAAGGAAGGAAAGATTGCGCCGGTCTGTGACCCATTTGCTATGGCGCTACTTCAGCATTTGCCGGGCGTTGATCGGAGAACTCACGGAAAACTATCGATCAGAACAGCCAGCCGCCGGAATTGTCCTCTAGACAATAGCTGAATTCGACTTAGTGTAGCTAGTGTAGAAATAGCATGTAGCTACTGTCGAATATCCTGCCACCGTCGGGCCTCTAACTGCGCCACCTAAGCCGGTGAAAGGTTCATGGAAAGTAACGCTGCTATTCCAATGATATATTCTAAGCAATTTAATTTCAATTTATTCAATTCGTAATTATTGAAGAAAAATACATTGTTTTTATCTCTGCATTCATGTCGTAGGAACTAACTGGGATGACGGAGTTTATTATTTGCTCATGGAAGCCCATGAAATTATTTTTAAGTCCTGCCTTCAGAATTTCATTTTAAATTTCGTTTCAGATAAGAGTTTTGGAACTTCTACAATCTTTCTACGAAATGTTTGGAGTTTGCTGATCACAACTTGATAATAAGTAATCTAGAATTCGAGCATAGAGGATATCCATGGCCTGATATAATGATAACCGTTGTTGACTTGTAATGGTACTTGAGTAGAAGCCGTAAAACAGAGCTCGTTTTGCTGATGATTCCGGAACGTTTTTATGCCGCCAGCTCGCGGTGCACGCGAAGACCGGAGAGCTAAGCAATTGGCGTCGTGAAGCGCAAGCAGATAATGCTCCCTCGTAAACAGCAAGCGGTAATTGAATTCAGAAACAACTCGAACCCCCTTTTCCATTTTGCGCATTCAGGATTGAGATGTTTATTGATTTTCTTTCTAATACTTTCAAACATTACATTTTTCTGCATGCCTGAAGAGTACTCAATCAAATTTCGTGATTTAAATGAAAAGTAGTGGTCTCCTGATATGTTTTACTTGCTTTTATTTACCGTTTTATTACTAAACACTATAAATTTTAATATTAAAAATAATGAAATAACAACTTATGACGACACTTCTTCATCACTTCATTTTCGAGACCAATTATAAATACGTTGTTAGGATTCTTTGCATCAAAAGGTTAGAGTTAGCTAAATAAAGATGGATCATTTTTTAAGATTTAAAAAAAGGTGTTTTACTTGCAAAAGTTGGTGAATTTACGAAAGCAATGCACAGCAATCGTCTAACACATGTGTTCCTTTACTAAATTATTCAGTGATCTTAATTTGAAATAAATCGACTATGTTTCTTTACTTCGCGAATTTATTGACATGTTTAAGATACGAACACCGCAGAACGTGGTGTTTACTATATGTGCCGCGAATGGTGCAAAATATAAACATTCTTTTGAAACTAAAGAGGCTAGAATTGTCCATTCTTTAAAAAGAAAAGGAGTTGATAAAGATTTTTGTGAATAGAAGGATTAGTTTCTTATTACTCTACAAATGAAATTTCTGGGACACGTTTGTTTTTGACTTAAATTTGTATGAGTAGCGAAATAGTTGACAGTGGTTTATGTTACGTCTTGTTTGTTGTCGTTTATTTTATTGTCTTTGGAGGACCGATTGTTACGGAGAAGCGTCATGGGAAGAGACTGGTCGTTGACGATCAGCAGATAAGAGGGGTAAATTCGCACTCTCACTTGATCGTGAAATGATAAATTAATTTGGAGCAGAGAACTACACGAAATGGATCCTAGTGTTTCCAGAGAAGGGAGAAGCTGAGACCAGTAAAATTTTAATTATTTAATAGAAGAACACGATTTGATGCGCACATATCTTGCAAGAAATCTTGAATGAAATTAATCTATTAGGTTGAATAAAATACGTAAATGATTAGTACAAATTATTAAATTAATTTTTAAACAATACTGGAAGAAAATATTTCATTATTTCTATTGAATTGAATTAATGCCTTATTTTACGTAACGAGACTCGGGCCATCAGGCCCCCTCTTCCGTCTGACCACGCAAATTTTGCTACGCTCCTTTCACCATGTAGAGGAGAAACGAAGTATTTTTTGGGGCGACGAAACCGGTATGTAAAGGTTTTTTAAATTCATAATATTTTTTTGAATTCCAAAACTGATATTTGGTATTTTAAAAAACCTAGTTATTTTTTAAAGAAATATAACTCAAATAATCCATTTTCTGGAGTAGAAATTATAATTATTTTGAATATGTATTGGTGTACGAATGTTTTATGTTTTTCTGGAAAACAAAACCTAACCGCAATCTATGGATTCAAGATAGACTAAATAAATATGGAATATAATTTCTTCTAGTCGTACAAATCATCAGTTAGATGAATACATGTATAGGGATGTTTTTGCCATCTTATTCACTTCGAAAAACAATTTGTTCCATATTGTCAATGTGGTCGTTGCTTTCTTTCATAATACGAGAATTATAGCACGTCAGTGTGTCACAAGTCATATGTGATGCATTATTTCTTTTAAATACGGTTGACAGCAAGATATTCTACAATAGTCCACAACATATAGGTACAAACCTCGGTAAATGTAAATACAAAAAACATTAATTTTATTTTCATACACATTTAATTCTAAGTTCTTAATGAATAGTTATTTGAGAATGTGTAAACCTTCTTTATTTTAGTCTTAGAGAAAACATTTTGAACGATATTAATAAACATTTCCTTTTGATATTCCTTATACTGTATGTGTAGTACTTTTCTGCATGTGTAGTAAACCTTTCCTTTTATGTGATGTACTAGTGTACCCGTGCGAGAACTGTCGCATTTTAATTCCCGCCCTTTACCTATCCATTTCCTTATCATTTTCATTAAGAAAGAAAGTTGTTAATGAAATGTGTTTATTTGTTAAAACATGTATGTTAAAACATGTTAAAAATGTTACTTCGCAAATGCAATAATATGCAAATAAAGATAATGCAAATGATGTTAGAAATAAAGTTTCAATAGAGATTCATTCAGTGTTATAGAACTATGTTCTTTGAATAATTTATACTCCGTTAAATACATTTTAACTTATTATTGAATCTTCATTGACAGCTTTTTGCTTTTCACAAAAAAATTAGAAAATGTTGTTACTCTTCAGAAAGTCAAGTTAAGTTTTCCATGCAAAAATACAGGATCGGGCAAGTAGAACCCTACTCTTTGGAATATTATTTAACTTTCCTGGATTTGTTATGAGGAACAAAGGAAGGTTTTGGAGGAATAGGGCGGCAGCTCGGTGAGCTGCAAAAATTGAAACATTATTTATATATTGAAAATTATTGGATTATTGCGTTCTTACATACTTCAAGGACAATGATAATTATCGTTATCATTATTATTACTAAGATATGGAGCATTTTTCTTCCATTTGCAGATTGCATATATTTTTTTTTATCTAGTGCCTCAAAGGGAAATTTGTCCACTCTCACGACCACATCCACATTCCGAAGCCACTTGTGCATTAAATGACTTTTTAGCCTACAGCTTGTGAGCTGCAACCTCTCGTAGCCTCGTCTGTTACGACGCAAATAAGAGGCAAAGGTGGCATTCAATTCATGTCAGAGAGATTCGTGCTTATGCTTAGACAACTCATCCGCAAAAATCATTCGCTTCCGCTATTTTTTATTATCGCAACTTCTTTTTTTTTTCATCCGCCTTAGTTGTTCAGTCACCCTCGTAACATGACTTCCTCATTTCCTGGAATGTAAGACTTTTGAACGCAATTTTTTTATGGATTCATCTTCTTCATATATTCGAAGAAAGACAAACTCCAATTTTACTACGACTGACAACTGATTCATTAGTGTTTCCTGGCGCGTCAACCGCTAAGGTCTCTAGTTCCGTTCGTTTAGTGAATGCATTTACTACGGGAGGTGATGGTGATCTTCCTCCGCTGGATGGCGAGATCCGGCGCCAACCTACATGTCGGGTTGCAGGGCTTTCGCCAAGCAGGTATCTCCCAGAGCAGGGCACCGCCCCATCCGGAACAAGCTCTATGATCCCTCTGGACTCTCGCCAACATGTCGAAAATCCTGCCACTATGGGGACTCCCAGTGAGAGGTATTGCTGTGCCATTAGTGCCCTGAGCCCTGAACCACCTAGGCCGGTGCGACTAACAATTTTGTTTTGTTATTTACGGTCCCATCAACTTTTAGGTTATTAGCGACCACTATTGCATCTAACGGTAGGGTAACTTTGAGAATGACATGATATAATGATGATAGGGGGTGAAAGGACGAGCACAATAAAGCCATGTCCGAGGTGAGAGTCGAAACTGCGATTCTTCGGTCCAAGATCGCAACGGCACTACTGTCTTAGCGATGTCGGCCACCGGATCGGCACAGACAAATATGTGAACTTCCCAGATGAACTAAGAAATTAAAGCACGAATTCTCGTGGAGCGGGGGCGGTGGGGGGTGGGGCGTCGAAGGCCAGGGGCTCATGCATAATGGATCTCGGGCAGATGTTATCCGGCGGCGTACGCAGCGCCGACCCTGGCCTTACGCCGCAACCCCGAGGCATAGATACGCCCCCGGCTCGGCGCCTTCGCGCTGGCACGGCACTGGATGCCAACGGCGCGTTGCCCCTCGCGCCACGCGGGCTCTGCGTGTGTGTGTGTGCGCGCGCGCGCGCGCGTGTGTGTGTGTGTGTGTGTGTGTGTGTGTGTGCGTGTGTGCAGGCGAAGGGAGCGCTACGATTTCGCGGGCGCCCTGCTGTGCAGTGCGTCGCAAGAAGAAGGAGAGAACGTGAAACAATGCACCAAGCCACGCGCTGGCCGATTCTAACCCTACTTATTAGTGTAGAAAGCGGTTAACTTCGAATGTATGAGTCACCTAACAGGAGTGGATTTTCTTCCGCATTTCCGTTTCTGTTCAAGTACAAGTATACCTGGCAAATATTATCCCGCCAAACCGTGTTCTTTACATTATGAGTTCATCCCGTATTGTTCCTCTGCAGACAGTTCACCATAAAAAAATAACAACGACCCTTTATTTCAATTTTGGTCTTTATTGTAAACTGAGTACTCCATTTATAGAGGTAACACATACCTCATAACTCTCAAAATATGACTGTTCGTGCCATAGTTGATGACATATTATTGAATTTCCCCAACACTCGATGGTAGGAATTATCAACTGTTGAATTTAGTAATGAAATAATGTAACGGTACACCATGAAATGATGATGTAATTATTACTCGGCTGAGAAGTGACACTCGTGAGAGACGCTGTGAGTATTGTGTATTTAAAACGAGAGTATTCATGCCCGTTATATTGAGTTTCATTCAATGTTTTTTCTAGTACTAATGGCATCTAATATAAAGTAAATTCGACATTGAACACTTACATGGCAGTTAGTAGGACAAGTAGATGATACTTTGCTTATGGTTATACATATAAATAAATAGTAATCGTAATTAAGTCATTTACTATCATTATTGATCTGTTAGTTCTGATATAAACTGTTAAAAGTGTCTTTTATATGACATAGTGACAACTTATTAATAATTCAAGTGCCTCAGATCTCCAAAACTTTTAACATATTCATTTTCCAACTACGGGTGGATTCTGTTCAGTAGCAATGTCTCATTTAAACATTCCTCTATCTTCAACTAATGCAGATATGAATACATCAAATAATATCAATGCAACTCCGATTAATCACGATAATTCTCCAAATTAATCACCTTTTCAACAAAATCTCACGCAACACGACTCACCAAGTATTTCTCTATTGTTTCAACTTCCGTCATTTCAATTAAATAATTTCAATATTAATCCAAATGATTCATCAGCTTGTAATACTGATACCTTTACCGTTACGTCAGGCAGTTCTCAGCAACAAAATAATTCTCGAAAGACATAAAAAACTAATATAGAACTAATATAGTCATTCAGGTAAAAGGCTGGCTAAAATAGATAATTTTTAATCAACTTCTGGAATTTCATGGCTAATAAATATGCAATACTCTACGAAATGTAACCAACAGAAGAATAACTTCAAATCAAAATCCCACTCATCAAACGTCAATAACTTTCATAATTTGATTGCCGATTTACAATAAATTGTTAAAAATGACTTATCTACAAAAATATAAGAATATTCAAGAATGCAGTGAAAATTGTATCTAGTCAATTGAGGACTTTCGTAACTACAGGACTCTTTGTGAATCAAATAGTAACCAATTTTATTCTATCTTGTGCGTTAAGGATTAGTAAATATTTCTTTCTATTTCTTGCTATGTAAAAAACTAACGCACAGATTAAGACTATGCTAAGTTATTACAGAATTTGGGAAGACTGATTTTGTTAAAATTTTTAATTCATGGTAATGTTATATAACAGTACTTAATTTTGTGTTCTTGAGCAGGGTGCAAGCGACTTTTTAGATGATCATTTTGGGTGGATTTTTTTACCAATATTTTTCCTTACGCAGGCAACTAGTTCAGAATTAATATTGATCATGTGCAATAAAAATTAATTATCACTTTACATGTAATTCAAGTACATGTAAAGTACATCCTCCCAAGATGAAGACGTTTTTAAAAGTGTTTGATTTGTAGCCTATTTATGTGATTTGTTTCAGACGACAAGGACGGTGGAAGAGGGCCTACAAATGTCTCAATATCTTTATTCATCAATCGTGTTTCTGCGGTCGACGAAAGCAAAGAGGTAAGAAATTCTACTCTAAACAATGCATGTAGCCCTTATGTAATTGGGTGAAATTACATAATTGTCATGAACGTGAACGTGAAAATTTTAGAATTATAGTTGCATCGTGGATAGCGAATTTGTTGTCCAAAATATAAATCATTCACTTTAAGAATGCTCTAATAGTGTAGTTCTCCTGAAATTGTAGGTGTCTGAGTTTGTCGCAATCGTCACTAAACGGACGCACGTTGATGAAGGAAGAATTAAAAATGTGATTCAATAATATATTCTCAAATAAAAATTATTTTAAATTCTTTTTTGGATTGTATCCTATACAAAAAAATTACAAACATTTCAATGAATCTAAAGGTGAAATGAAACACTTGGGAAGAAATGAGTGGATTCGAGCGCGAGTTTGCCAGAGACTTCTCTTAAATCTACACTATCGTCTTTAGGCGTTCATCTGTAGTTGATGCACATCCTTGAGGCCTCTCTAATGACTGCAGTTCATGCCGGTTCTTCAAAACAGGTGTGAAGGCTAGTTTGTAGCGAATTCAGAGGCGCCGCTGCTGTGATCGGCTTGTTTTCCGATTTTTTTTTCGATCAATACTCAGATTATTAGCAGGGAGTTTACAAAACGGGTACGCACGGCGCCGATTTTCTTCATCTTTCCGGTCCTATCCCTACTCTTTACACACACACACACACTAACATGCATTACACTGCCACATATGTGCGGAGCGTCGTTCGTCGGCTGAGGCAATGCTCGTTGGTGGAAGGTAAGTAGAAGGGAAAACACAGCAAGCCAGCGTGTAGGTCGGCTCCAATCTGACATTCATCAGATGAAGACAACCGCCACCATCAATGATAAAACATGTACTACTTATCCAGTGATCACAACACAGTTGACACATACGAAAAACATGAAATAATCAATAATCATTCTACTGCAAAAAGAAATCGAGCTTCTTGTCATATCAATTTATCTTGATTCTGTAATAGAAATATATAAATACTATTCTAAATGTGTTGCAATATTGGTAAAGCAGTTCAAGATATCGATGAGCAGACGAATTAGTCGTAAGAGTATTTTTTAAAAAGCGCGAAGTAAGTGCCGACTCTCTCGTTGCTGCGGCTTTTGAAGTTAGTTTTAAACTTCGTGCTTTTGGCTTCAGGATATCTATCTGCAGAACAGTAACACTTTATATGTGAACTGTAATCAAGAATATCTCGCGAGCAGGACTAGCATCTCTGGGAATTTATTTGTCGTGCGCGGACGTCGCTCTGGGCCGGCGGCGACTGCCCAGCCCCTCCATTCCACGCGGCCGTTGACTCCTCACTCCGCCTTTCCCGGCTACACACAAACGATGCAAAGATAAATAGGAAAAAAGAAGTTAATGATCAAACACAAAAAAAAGACTCTCTCTCTCTCTCTCTCTCTCTCTCTCTTTGTGAAAAGGGATTGCCCCAAACGGCTCACCTTTTGTTCTAAGAAGCTTCCCCTTTCAATGCAAATCAACAGATTTTATTCTTTTCAATAAAACGAGATAATTTCTCTCTGTATTATTTAAATAAAGGCGCGTTTACACGGAGAGAGTTTTCTCTTGTAACTTTCCTGAACTGGTTAGGAGACATGCGTAAACTCTCAGTAAAGCGATCTTCCCTTCGGAGACATGACAAGGGATTTTCGAAGTCTCCCCGAGAGAGCAGTGTTAAGACTCTGATACCGATGAGGAATCTTATCTTCTGAGAGATAAACAGTATTCAAAGAGGGTTGGAAGACTTTTTGCTCTCGTGGTATGTGTCCACGTGTTTAATCAGCCATTCTGCATCTGTGCGTCGCGTGTCTGTGCGTGGTTTCAGAGTGGTTCGGGAATTGCTGTTCTTTGCGTAAAATTGTACACTGGGGAACTACTAAAAAGAACAGTATGTATCTGCTGTGGCAAAAGAACGTAGCGTCAAAGCAAGTCTCTTTCCGCAAAAAATACTTTTCCCCATTAGGTATCATGCTTTTAATTGCGTGAGATATTTTTCCTAATGAAAAATCAAATCCTTTTGGAGCTATACGAAGTTTTTGTACATGACTTCCTTCTCGTCGTTTATTTTTTGTTGTTATTATTATTGTTATTATTATTATTATTATTATTATTATTATTATTATTATAACCTTTAATAAATGATAACTACAAATTACGAATTAATTATGGAATTTGGTTTTATAAAACTCTCATTAGGCCTTCTCTTTCATTTACCTGCCCTTTTTGGTCTAATGCTTCTACTACCACTCTAAACAAATTTCAAATAATTCAAAATAAATTTCTTCACAAAATTTTACTCCATGATTTCTAGAGTATATCAAATAAAATAAATCACAGAAAAATTAAAATTGGTTCTTTCAGACTGTTATAGTTAACTTCACATTACTCCACCTACTTTTCAAAATGTTACGAACAAACTTTACAGCCAAAACTATTTTTGGCGTCCTCATCCGATCACGTTTTCGCGAGTGCGTCAACTGCTTAGGTAATTAGTTTCGTAAGTGTAGTACATGTTTTTATCGCGTGAGGCGTTTGGGGTCTCACGCTCAGTATCTCCCCTCCGGTCAAACTCCCGACTGGTCTCCCGGCATGTGTGGTAAGGTAGAACACGTTAGTGTGTGTTGTGCGTACGGGGTGAGGATAGGACAAGGAAGAGGAAGGGCAGATCAGATCCGTGGACCTGTTGTTGGGTACAGCTCCGGCATTCGTCTGGTACTGTGGTCGTGTCAAGGAGCGGCCCCCGCTGCTACTTGGCATGCGATCACAGGTGGAGTGCTTTCGCCGCCCCACCCGGGGGCGCCGTTTGACCGATGGCGCGGCCAACTGGCTGACTGCTGGAGGGGAACCTCGCTCTATATAAACATGTGCAAAGTCCATTTCCGCGCATTTCGCCCTGAGGAAGCTCGCAGAATGGCGGCCGAAACGGTGGAACCTGTGTCTAGGATGCGGTGTCTCCCGGACAGTAGCTACTGACTCCGGCCGCGGACGCCTACGCTCGTACGAGAATCTCAGTCCGCGACGATCAGACTTAAGTTCCTAGGGAGCTGCGGCTACGCTTAATGGCATCTCATGAAGCAATCCGAGATTTCGCGGGCTTCTTTAGTTGCGACGAGTAGAATCGCAAAGCTTCGTTAAGTACCACGGTATTTGCTTTGCGGGCGACCCGGCATCAGCCGGTGCGGACGGCGTGAGATATAACCACCTCTGCAATGGTGTGCGCAATTTCTGCAGAGGTGAAGAGGTACAGAAGTATTTATGGAGAGCCAGAATGGGCAAAAATGATAGAAATATAAGTTTTTGCTATTTTGAATAACTAATTTGCAGTTTTCTGTTTTTAATAAGCTAAGTTTCATCTTAATATGCCATTCTATTACGTTTTTTTGTTTCATTTTGAAGTTTATGTGACGTGGTAGTGGGGGCAGTGGTTTTGGTTCATTTTAGGTGGCGCTTAAACTTTTCTATCTACTTTCGTTGTGAGAAAGTATTAATCGGTTTCTTTCTTGTGTTGGAAACACTGTTTCTGGTAAAAATTGGGGCTTGAAAAGAGTCTAAATATCGACGTGTTAGTGTTTATGTTTTCCCAGCATATAGGCCAGGAATGCACTGAAAACTTTAGGATCCATATTTCTTTAAGATAAAAATGATCGTTTTTAGGGAAATTTTTCTCAAAAACTATAAGTAGAGGGATGACAACATGTTAACAAACCAAGTAGCACACCAGTTTATACACTTTTACGGGGCGGATTTATACAATGTTAAATAGTGTAGTCAATATAATATATAAATGTTAATATTTTGGATAAAAAACGATAACAATAGGCCAACGTTTATATTTAAAAAACTAGTTTCTTTAAATGGCTTCATTAGAATACATAAAAATAATAAATTTACACTCACGCAGTATTTCAAGTGTGTAAATTAAATACTACTTTCTTACACAATATTCCTTCTGTAACAATGGCGAGATAGGCCATTCCGGTTCCCTTTAATTTCAAAGAGTACAACTGAAGGATGAAACAAATGTACGGACTCATTCAAGCGTTCTATTCAAAGCCGCGTTTTTAATAATTTAGCAAAACCCTGCTTGCGGGTGACTATTCCTCCAAAAGCCCATAACCACTTCAGACTAAAAATTTTCGGAGCCCATCTCCATGTTAGGAAATGTACAAAATGGAGTGGCAAAAATGAGCACTAGAAGGAAGCAATGAAGCACAATGGGATGAGAAATTGCGCTTTCACTTATCAACAACAACAACAACAACAATAACAATAATAATTATTGTTAAAATGCATTTTAAATTGGAAAGACAATACAATCCCGCAACACAAAGCCCGTTTTGATTCCTGTGTAAAGCTTGTTTTTTCGCACAGGGGCGAGATGAAAGAAAATGGAAAGGTCTGATTTCTCCCTCAGGGCTTCTGGGCAAAATTCGGGCATGTTATTCAAAATTTAACACGACTTTTTGAATACTGTGTAACCATTCTGGCAATCCAAGTGAAGAGAACTCCAGTGGCCCGAAGTGTCATTTTCGGATCACCTCCTGTAGACAAAATGGGAAATTTTATTATAGGCACACGTTGTCAACTTTCGGAAAGTTCCCACTGAGTTTTTGCGGGACTTCATAGGACCCGAGATCGGTATACTTCTTGGATTTCCTCTTGATATTTTCCCGATAATGTTGTGGGTATTTTGGTTATTGATATATCGATAAGAGACACACCTGCCTTTTGGGTTCTATCAATGTAACGTTATATCGGGTTCCTTTGCGCCCGACATGTTGTCAGTGGATAATGGACACGATCCAGTAGAGTGTGTGTACTATTTCAAGATCATTCCTGAGGCACATCCTTTATAATACGGACGGAAAGTGGCGAAAGGTAACCCGTTTTCCTCACGCCAATAATTGGTCCGTACTGCTTTCGCAACTTCATCAATGCCTCTTTTGTATTCCATCTGTGGCGTGGGCTACTAACATCCTGATTTGTAACGTGTTTTGATACGTTTTTGCTTTATGCAGGCCCCTAATTTCTACACGAGTCCGGAAATAAATGGTAAGAATCTCTAGGTTTTCAGGTTAGAGGGACTATAAAGTTTATTATAACATGCGCTTCACTGGCTTGCTTTGAACTCTCCACAATGTTCCAAGAAGTTATCTCTGAGTGGAAGCAAATTTGAAGAGTGTGTTAAGATTTTGAAAGATCTACAATACCTCGCCCTCCTTGGACCTTATGGAAGGGTAAAAACGCTCGTACTTGAAATGGGGATGAGTTTTCGGTTGTTGAGTCATTGCGGTTTCGAATTGGTTCTCTGGGAGGTTGGTGCGATGTCGGTATTGCTAAACACCCATTTTAGTACGCCCAAAGGAGTACGTCAGCCACTTGGAAATAACAAATGATTGAATGGCCTGCACAAGGTTTTAACGATTAGTTTTGGGTTTTTTTTAAGAGCCATGTGCAATTTCGTTACAACACTTCATTTGTTTAGTATTATTCTTGTAACAGTGGTGTTTGATTTCGGAGTGGGACTGTTGGACCCAAGTTATTTGGTAAGTTTTCATGGTTCCATTGAAGGTAATCTTTCGGTTTCATAATCAGTTTCTAAATTTATAACTTGTTTTTAATGTTTGAATTGATGCCCATAGACAAAAATTTTATTATTAAATATTAATTATATTAATTATCATTATTTAATATATTAATAATAATATGATAATAATAATAATTAATGATAATATAATATAAATATA